TTTTTTGTCAAATTTACGTGTTTGAGTTGATAATGCCACTTAGTGGATAATGACCTTAACTACAGTCTGCAGAAACAAACCAAGTGTGAAACAAAGTGAAAGATATCTTTCTTTATGTTGTAGTCTTTTTCCTGGCTAGAATCTGCCAATTGTTGCATGTTTTCAAAGAACCTTCTGTTCTCCCCATTTTTTGAAGTCCATGCTAATCAATTCAGGTTCTTAATGAAACGTGTTAAAAAGTGAGAGTCATTTATTACATAATACTAAAACTAGAAGAAAAAATCTTATTTGTCATTTCATTTAAAATATTAAATACTCTTGGTCCTCTTGTATTCATCCTTTAGTGAGTGAAATATGGTTGTAGGCTGATTATATTGGTGTTTTGAGGAATTTTTTGTCTTTACCGTTTGTGGTTGGAGGATTGGATGGCTGGACCAGCCATGACCTTAAAAAAGCATATTTTATGTAACGTCTCATGTTTTTCTGAAGTTTTTAATTGCACTGCTTTCGTTAGTCAGTAAGTTGAATTAAGTACAGTAATGTACAGTAATTAAGTACAGTAAAATACTGATCGAATGAAAGGAGAAAGAAGAAAACAACATTAAATTTCCTGTCATGTTCCACTGCTTTATTATAGATTGACTTAAATTTTCACTGACTTAAATAACAACATTTGTGTATCATGAAATTGGGAATAATTGAGGGTTTTTCTGCCTCACCCCATCCTCCAAAGAGCTCACAGTAAGGAGCTAGCACAAACCTCAGTTTTTTGTCTCTGAGATGAATGCAATCACAGCCTTTCTCCTGTGGCCGGAGCAGAAAGAGCATGGCCAGCAGATGAAGGGAGGTGACCCTCCCTATCTCCTCTGTCCTGGTGAGGCCACCTTTGGAGTACTGTGTTCAGTTCTGGGCTCCTCAGTTCAAGAAAGACAGGGAACTTCTAGAGAGAGTCCACAGAGGTGATAAAGGGCCTGAAGTATCTCCCAAATAAGGAAAGGCTGGGAGTCCTGAGGGGGGATCTTATCAGTGCTTATTTGAATATCAAAGGCTGAGTGGCAAGTGGATGGGGCCAGCTCTTCTCAGCAGTGCGCAGGGACACAACAAGAGACGCTGTTCACAAACTGAACGTAGAAAGTCCCGTAAGAACATGAGAAAGAACTTTGCTGTGAGGATGACGAAGGCTCTGGAACAAGTGAACCAGAGAGGCTGTGGGTGCTTTTCCTCTGTGGAAATTTGGAACTTGCCTAGGCATTTTCCTGTGAGACTTGCTGGTAGGGTACCTGCTTTAGCAGGGGGTTGGACTTGATCATCTTCATAGGTCCCTTCCAACCCCTACGATTCAGTGGTTCTATGATTTCTTTGTGTCACTTCTGTTTAGGTGTGAATGAAAAGTTAATTACAATTGAAAATTAAGCGAAGTTCTTGGGTCCTTACTGAGTAAAACTTACAAAATTTTGCTCTAAACCTAATTATGGCGTTTTTTTCCATACTTCCTAGTTCTAAAAGGCACAAATTGCCTATCAAACATCACAACTCAAAAAAGGCAGTTAAAAAAAAAAAAAAAAAGTTGGACAGAACTAACTTCCTACATTTTGATTACAGATAATTGGCTTTTTAAAGCTAGCGTCTCTCATCCTGTGCACCTAATTTTGAGTCAGAAACTACAAAAGGAAAACCAGATTTCGTCTTTTTCAACTTATAGTCTGCCTCTAAGCTTCAAAACAAGCAGTACTAATAGAAACTTGAATAATTGTTGACAGAATTTCTGTTCATATATAGAGTACACAGGTACTGTCAAAGACTCGATGTAGCATGTTACATGCAAGTTGAGATGTCTCATTCATAGCTCTCACTGCATTGAATGCTTCAGGAAAAATGATGGTTTTCATCCTTTTAAATGTAAACTTACAGTTGGTTTTAAACTATATTATGAGTTAAAGAAATAGGGAATGGGAAACCAATGTAATGGGTTTTGATCTTGATATTCATTTGCAATTTGATTATTAAAGTACTATTTTGATTAGTTTGGCTTTAGTTAGAAAATGAAGTAGAGGCTAAGTTCATCCACTGTTACTGTAGTTCTGGTCCCTATAAAAATTCAGTTCTGTGTGTGCATCTTCTGAAGAAGTAAGCTAGCACTGATAGTTCAGTGCAAATATAAATTAGTAATTACATCTAGACAAGCAGTGGCATCTTACTTAAGCATAAAGATCATAAGCATTTCAGATAAAACATGTGACTAGTTTTTATTTAGAGCATACATTTTCATGCGCTTTGTGTAAAACTTCTTTCATAGTGCAGTGCTGTACAGTGTTGTGTAGATTAAAAACACTCAGGTGTGTCTCCGGTTGAGATTTCCATTCAGACAGTAGAGGGCACCACATCACCAACAAAAGCTTCCTGGGTTTGTGTTATCTTTATTCGAGTGAAGCCATGTTGAATGAGCAAACGTCTGTAGTCTGGTCTGTGAGTTTTAAATGTCTCCTTCACAGGAAATCCACTGAGTAGCATTGTAGGGTTGTCAAAACAACTGTACAATGTTCACTTTTGTCCATATGTCTAACTTTGCTCACATCACTGAACAATGCTGTTTTCTTTGTATAATATGCCTCTATAGGCATGTGCATCTTGTAATGTGAAGGGAATAAGCTGTTGTAAATGAGTTTGTGATTAATCATCATGAAAATTTGTCAGCTAAGTAAAAATAGATTTTATAGGGAAGTAGAGTGAAGTCACTGTGCATCGATTTTTATTGTCTTAACAAAAATATATCCCGCAAATCTCATTGCTAAATTAAGAGTAGCTTCTAGTAGTTATTTAAATTAATTATGGTGAAGCCTCTCAGGGTCAGTCAGTATGTTGTTTCAATTTTCATTTCCACTATCTAATGGAATTTTTAATTAAAAGGATGGAGTTTTAATTCAGTGCCATTCACAGTACTCTTCCCTTATTTGTCATCATATGGAATTTGCAGATTTGTTAAAATACAAAAAAAAAAGTTGCAGCACAAAAATGTTTTTGGCATTCTTTGCGTATAAAAGTAGGAAATGAATTTCCTAGAGGATGTGCTCCTTAAAGTATTAGGCACGATGCAAGTGCCTAATAATACAAGATTTATATTTATATTTCCATAATTAAGAGGACTAATATACTTGCCTGGTAACTGAATATAATTTTTAAGGCAGGATATTTTGCGGAAATGCCATGGTCTTGAGATTTCCTTGTAAGTTTTAATGAATTGGGAGTCTAATGGGGAAGAATGAAAGTTAATAAAATAATATCAGAAGGAATAAAAAAAAAATGGCACAAAGCTAATTAAGCTAAAGGGAAGAGTTGCTGGAATTCATGCATTTCTATAGCTTCTGCCTAATTACAGATTACACTGTGGCTTTGGAGAAGACACATTCTGCAATATATTCAATATAATCCCCCATTCCCTAACCCTGACTATAAAATCAATCCTTGAAAAATGTCAAATTTAGTACTTTTCTAATCTGCTTTATGTTTAATTTATTGTCCAGTATAACGATGAAGTAATTTTTCTCAGTCTCTCTGATTACCAGACCAACTGCATTTGTAGGTTTTTATTTCAGACACTTGCACTGGATTTTCTGTGAGCATTCTATGAGCATGTGAAATACTCTGGCATAGTTAGAAGGCTGAAAAATTGGAAGACATTAAAAGGTAGAAAGAGCAACAATGTTTTTTTTTTTTTTTTCTGTGTTTCTAGTTTTTCATATGTGTTCATATTTTGGTAATAATTTTTGTGAGAGAAGACAAGAAGAAAATTCTGAGAAGAGTGGCCGTGACTTCTCTTAGAATATTTGTGAAACATAAGTTCAATTCCTCCTGAAGAAAGATGAAATGGTTTTGTTTTGAAGGATGTAACTCTTAACACTAGCTAAACCTGTTCTGCTTCTATTAAAGGCATCTCATTTCCATGCATCAATTTGGTAACCATTCCTGCTTTGCTTCCCTGATATCATCAACTGATGGAGTATGGGGAGATTGATCCCCTTTCTCGTGTTTTAAGCATCTGTGGAAGTGATTCATTGGATTACAGTTACTGTACTTTGCACATTCAGTACAACACTACTGAAAATTACAACAGCATTTTTTTCATTTCAAACATAATTTTTATTCTAATTATTTCATTGGTTTCCATTCTTTTTGTTGGTCTGTGAGTCAGAATCTAGATATTTTGGTTTTCTGGTTTTCATTTCTTACATGAAGGCTTTTTGACATAATACACTTCGAAAATACATAGGTGTTCTCTTCAAAGTGTATTCAGATGTGAGGGTTGGCATGTTTTAATGGAAAAATTCCATTAAAAAGCAGCAAGTTCATCTGAGGTAACCCTTTTTTTTCACTTTCTGATTTTAGTGAAACCACAAGCCAAGCTCTTAATTCTTGGGGCTATAAATACTCGTATTCTTGGCCATCTCTTCTAACATTTTGTGATTATTTAAAAATCCATTTGTCATTACAAACCATTTGTTATCTTCTTCTAACTTGCCTCACCTTTCTTATAGTTGTTAATTGTGTCCTGCAAGCTACCTATTAGTTGACAGTAAAAGCTCTTGGCTTGAAGCATTATTTATCTAGGAACTATTATAAATTAATTGTTCAAAGCAGCAGCTGTTCTTTTATCTTGGGTTGCTTTTACTTTGAGCAACATTTTTCTTTTATTCTACTTTCCATTTTTTTGCATCAGTTTTTGGGGATAGAATTTAGTTGGATTTTTTCTGTGTACATCCATCACCTGAATAAGGAAGATGAGACACTGTTATTTCTTTGCTTATTTGTACCACAGTCTCTCTGTATGCTTTCGCTCTATGGATGACTCCAAGGACTGCGTATTTCCATTTTCTAGGAGTCAGTCTTCCACAAGTGCTTTAAAAGAGAAAATGTTTTTAATATATTTATTGCAAAGGATAAGAAGCAAAAGCAAAAATGTTAGTAATAGAGTCGACAAATGCTAGAAATGATTCTTTTAAATCTTCCTTCCTTTCCCAAACAAAAAAAAAAAATGAGTGATAAGAATTTTCTTCAGAAAACAAAGTATGTTATCATTACTAAGAAACTTTGATGATGTTTAGTCAGGATTTTTTTTCCATTATCATTTCATTCTGTAAGTCAGTAAACTATTTTCTAAGTTGTGTGGTTCTGCATTGTTCTAATGGAACAGTGCAGGAAATTACATAGGTGAGCATCACAACAACTTGAAATTGGGCGTTTTGATCTGAGGGATCTTGGGTTCAGATGCTGCTATATTTTGTTTTGGTTTTTATATCACGGTTAATTATTCATGCACTAAGGTCAGTTACACTGCTTTAATGATAGTAATAAGCTTAGTACACTACAGTTCCCTCAGACTGTGGATGCATGCATACATCAGTGCAGCTATTCCATTGGAAGTCATCATTCCTAATTACTGATTGCTGCTCCTGAGCTTGGGAGTCTCTATTTCTCCTGAAACTCCCAGTGGAGCTTCTCATGAGAACCCTCCCAGCCCCATTTAGTTAGGGTGATCTAAATGAATTTCAGCAGTAGGTATTTGCTGATCCAACTCATTTCCACAAAAGCCTTTTAGACTATGTTTATGTACATGGGCAGATTTAGGAAATTATATGTGGCGGAGGAGCACTGATCAACAGTAAAGGGTTGAGCTGATCCATGTGCCTTTTTTCCCTAAAACACTATTTAAAAACTTTGTATGTCTGCGTGTGGCCATAGTGATACTGCTGTTTTTGAGTTTGTACTGATGTGAATTCATCCTGTCAAGTCAGATGAAATAGCTTTATTAAAATTTACTTCTTCTTAGCAATGTGTATAATATTGTAGCTATCAGTTAAAAGCGGTGCAGAGCTTCACAATTTAAAATTATGCAGTGACTGAAAGCAATAAATGCACAAATATTTTGAAGATCTTAAAAAAAATAGTTTAGCGTTTGACATACAAAACTGAGTTGATGACACCCAGTGTGAACATTGATTACATTTTCAAAACAGGATTTCAGTATATCTGAGAGTGTAGATACTACCATGTCAGATTTGAAGGATTGATTGGTGGGGAGCTGTGTCAGTGTTTTATTTTCCACAACTCAAAAATAAATTGATTGATTTACTGTAAGAGAAGGAATTTATAGCAATACTTCTAAAATGTCTGAACTAAATTACCGAAATTTTGGGAGCAAAGTGATGCAATAGAGAACCATCCTATGGTATTTTAGTTTTGAAGCTCAGCACTTTAAAAAATGCTAGTGAATAATGATGTGTGAATCACAAAATTCTAAATGTACGCTCTTGTTCACAAATTTCTTACATTTTACTTGCATCTGTGTGCAACTAATTAAATATTGAGCATTGAATAAGGACTAACGAGCTTTCAGCTGTCAGCAGTACTTCGGAAAAGTATTTTCAGTGTTCATAGTTCATATATTTATATTAGGGTAAGCTTTGATCATTTGCAAAGGTAGAAAATTGAGAATGCAAACATTGTTGTGTCTGCATATCATCATTTTTAAAGCGTACTGATAAAAGGTTATGTTCAGAGGGATTTGGACACTAAAGAGAAGCTGTTATCATTTAGGAGTATCGTGACAGCAGTGTTTTTATGCATGCATTGAGTCTTATTTCAGCATTTGAACTGATTTTGCAGTAAGTAAAAGAAAATGCTTTCTAGTTTAATGAAATGAAATTTTGAAGTCTCTAGATTAAGCCTTTCTAATTTGCTACTGTGCATTAGTTTTATGTTTACATTTTTGTCACAACTGTAGTTTATAAACTGACTCACTGAGAATTTATGCCGCTGATTACTTTGAAATCTCATTAGAAGTTATGGAAGTGTTTTGCAGTTCCTGAGGTTTGAAAAGCATCATGTTATTTCCAGGGAAAGACAGTTTGAAAGATCTGAGCTGTGGAAGCAGAAAGCTATGAAGAATAAAATAATGCATCTTGGGACAGAGGAATATGCTTATTAATGTTTCTATTAAGATGAGGATTAGTCTTCTGATACAGAGTTAAAACATAATATTGAATGATGTTCAGTATGTTCAAATGTTACTTGGACCTAGACTTGCTTTTGGTTTTGCTTTTAGAAAGCCAAATAAGGAACTATTTTGAATCATTAGAAAAATGAAGCTTATTTATTAAATGTTTGAGCCACGACTTCTAGATGTTGGTCTTCAGTATCACTTATTTTTCGTTTTTTGTGTATATTGAAAATAGTAATGTCAAGCCACTGCCTTTAAGATAATTGGAAATTCTAGTTTAACCCTGAAAATTGATGTAAATTTTGTGTCTGGGTTCTTGTTTAGTACTTTCAAAATCTGGATTCGTTTTCTATATGAGGATTGTAGGAAAGGATAAGAAAATGAAAAGCTGAAAAATGTAGTAGAAGTTCAGGAAAAATATGTTAGAAATCTCCACAGCTATGATGTGATATGGTTCTTTAAGAAGGAACTGAAACCAAAAACTGGGCACATGACCTAAAGCTATTCAATGCAAATAAGAGTGCTTAGCCTCGGTTTTTGGCAAAGGGAACAGTTTTCTTGGTGTTCGAAGCATGCTGTCAGCTAAACCAGTCTCCGGATGCAGAGCTAACTTTGACAGTAGAAGAAATGATTGGATTATCTCTGAAGACTGAAGGCAATGAGGTAAGATACAGCTTAAAATGAGTTGGAAGTGAAGAATACAAACCGACTCAGTAATTTAGATTGTGGTGGTATTTCTTGGTAATATAAGTTGTTTATGTCAGGGTTAAGTAAAGGAAACTAGGTTTATGCATATTGTTTTCCCTGATCTAAATGATGTTATAAAATGCAATATAGAAGTGTGATGAGATATTGGATCACTGAGTATGCAAGGTTTGGTGCTGTATAAAATTGCTTCCTCTGTTCTCACGCTTTTCCCCTTTGTAAGCTAATCATAGAGGTAGGCTCAGTTCATAAAATGTGCATCCTGTGAAAGTGAAACTGCATTTTGTTTTTGTGCTTACAAATAGATGTAATTTTATGAGTAACACAGGACGTTTCTTCATGTTTCAATGCTGTTTATGTAAGATGATGCTAACTGTATTGGACTTGACAGTCTGCTCACTGCTCTTCTGGAGAGAAAAGTTTGAAGAAGTATTTCATGCAAAGCAAAGCTATAGCAAAAACGTGGTTTACATGCAGCTGTGTACTCTGAATGTGCTCTGTGCATTATGGAATGACTGTGACTGCTTTTAAATCTCCAAATCTTACATTGCCTTCCTAGGAGATGTATCCTTTATATACGTATAAAAATGAGAGCTTATGATACTTTTTCTTCTGTAGTGCTTGAGGGAGAATTTGGAAAAATACCTTTATCTCCTCACATGGGGTTTTGACCATATACAAGCTTAGAATAAATTTTTTGTGTGTATGTTCTGATCTCTCAAACTGAAAAATAGATGACCGTGAGATGTGAGCCCTGAGAGTCATGGTTCAGAGTACTGAGAATGTTTTTTCATATAATTTTGAAATTTAAAATCACATTTTTCTACATCCTTTCAGGGAGACTGTTTATAGTGTAATATCTGTTTTTCATGGTTTAATTTTCACTTCTGCAAAAAAGTTTGTTTACTTCCCAAATCTGTACTTTCACGTAGTTTTATAATAATACATCATGTTAAGAGCTGGTGTAAAAGAAACAAAAATAAAAAACAACCAAATAAAACCAACTTTTTCTTTGGTGCTTCTGTTTTTTCTTCCACGGAGACTTGGTTTTTGAGAATTGGTCACTTTTCCTTTGTCAGTTTTTCTTATTAACTGCAGATGCAAATATTTTCACTGTGATAAAAAGATAGGAATAGCACATAAAAGAGTGCGGCGTTTGAACTTTTTTTTTAATTAAAAGTTTTTTTTAAAAAGTAGGCATTTTAGCTTTCTAATACATTTCTCTTGTAATAGGGTTTTAAACAATTGAGTAATTCTAATGAAATAATGCAAATTTATGCTAAGAGCAACTCAGCAGTTACAATATTTTTTGCTCTGTAATGGTATTGAGTAATGTGAGTCAAGAAATTTAGAGGATTTACAAATATAAATACAGTTTTCAGTTAGTTTCTTCTAAGTAAATAAACTCATAAATATCTGTACTTAATAAGGCACTGATGTTTCAGTTCCACATTGATGGATAGAATTTCTGTATCTATACAAGGTTTTACTCTCTACAAAGCTGACCATCAGAATATTTCTTGTGGTTGAGAACTTGTCATAATGTTTAATGAATGATGCAGACTGTTTCAAACCTTGGTGGTACTTTTCTAATTTTATGTATATAACTGTTTATGATTTTGTTGCATTTGCTAGGTTTGCTGGGATGGGTAATCTTCTTAAGGTCCTTACCAGGGAAATTGAAAACTATCCACATTTTTTCCTGGATTTTGAAAGTAAGTTCAAACAATTACAAGATTGTGAGAGAATCTTTTCCCTGACTTAATAGTGAACTAAGGAAAAAAAAAATCTTAAGATGGATTGTTTGCAGTGTTTATTTTCCAGCGCAACCAGTCTATCCAAGTCCTTGTCTCTAAAACCATTTGTTCACTCAGAACTCCTTTTCTCTTCCTTTTCTATTTTTCAGGAACCAAATGGGAAATCTTTTAAAAGTTCTCACTTGCACAGAGCTTGATCAGGGGCCAAATTTTTTCCTTGACTTTGAAAGTGAGCAAAGCTTCTTGCCTGGCTTGCCTTCTTTGCTTATTACTTCCTAATAAACTGCATGTGCTTACGCGTCATGAAGCAATTCAAAAGGGATTTGCAAGCAAATTAAATTACACTTTAGTTGAGTATTGAGTTTTTTTGATAACTACAAGACTATGTATAACTACTTCATGAGAAGATGGCAGAATGATAGATACGCAAATAAAATATGATTTAGTTTCAGAACATTTATAAGCCATTATTAAATTTATATGTGAATGAACTTCAGCTTACTCTAGCAAATCAGGGTTAATAATATATGTTCTTCGTGTTTCTTCATTGAATGGAAATATATTTACAGTGGAAATAATTATGAAAAGCTTAAAAAAATACCAGCAGTGTAGGTGGCTGGTTCAGTGGTGATTTAACTGGATTATTATAGTTTTTAAAGAGTAATGAAGTGGTGTAAGTGTAAGTACTTGATTGCATCTCTCTTAATTGCATGTTTATCGGTTTGCAAACAGTGTTTCACATACTAATTTCCTTGTCACATTTGTTTCTGAATCAAAGCTATTTCCCTTCTGCTGGTTATGCTATTCCTGCATGTATTTCTGAACACTTTCTTGAAAACTGATCATCAAATCCTTAAATATGGGTTAATCTTCATTAATTGCGTTAAATGCTTTTTATCAGAATGCTAACAGCATGTGATGTTTTGTCTCTTAAAACCTTTAATCTGAACAATGGAAAAGAGTTTTGAAAGAAGCTACCTCTTTAATAATTTGATTTTTGAGGCATGGTTGAAGAGAATTTGGGATAAGTAGGCACATATTATCACCTTGAATACTTTTCTGAAATAATTTATTCCTAAGTTATTCTTAAAAAAAACAATTACTGACATGAAATGAGAAAGTATGTATATACGTGCTTAGAAGCACTGGTTCTAAAAGTTGTTAAAACATATTTAAATCTGAAGAAATTGTTCAGACATGCTTTCTTGGATTAGAACTGGAGTGTACGAATGTAACATTGCACATACTTTAATCTTCTCATCTAGATCTCATTTACCACAGCATAAAGAATCGGTTTTAAATTATGAAGAAAGTTAATTGGTTATTTTGGGTTTGGAATAAGGTCATACAGGCCCTCAATCCATTTTCTGTTTGTCTCTATGATTTGAGAATTTTATTCTAGAACTTAATGTTATGTAAAGGATGTTAAACCTTTGTACAAATCATCATGTAATTTTTTCTGTCAAACTTCAGGACACTTTAGTAGATGCTGTGCCAAGTTCTTGCAAAGCTTTTCAGCTGCTTTGAACTTCCAGACTTCATCAGTCCCATCATGTACTATATTGTAAGAAGGTCCTACTAGCTGTGACTGCTGACTTAGAAGAAAACAGGTGGCCTGGCAATGGGAGGCCTCGTAGAAGTGGGAGGGGAAAATGCATATTTTATTGCCTTGGCAGAGAACGTTGTTGGTTTTTTGTTGTTTTTTCTTTTCCAAAATCTGCTCTGCAACAGGAACAGAAGTGAGCTTAAGTGCCTTCTCCCAAAGAAATGCAAGCAATTGGTGTAAGCACTTGTGCACTTGTCAGGCACAGCCACCCAGGGAATGAAATAGTCTTGGAGATTTTTGTGGAATAATAAAATCCGTGTTCTGTGGAAGGAACGTAACTGCAAGGACATGCGTTGGCTTGATGCGTTTTCTGTATTTCATTTTTTGCATTGAAACACTGAGTTGTGTAAAAACACACTCGAATGTGTTGGCCATGAGTGCCAGTCTGTATGTATGCTTGCTGGCCACATGACTTTTTATGTTTTCAATTTGTTTTCAGTTCAAGCTCAGTGGATTTAAAAAAAAAAAAAAAAAAAAAAAAAAAGGTCGTATTAGAAACGAATGCAGTTACAAAGGTTTCCTTCATGATCTGATAATGATAGGACAAGAGGAAGTGGTTTTAAACTAAAAGAGAGGAGATCTTGGTTAGGTGTTCCGAGGGAATTCTTTACTCAGAGGGTGGTGAGGCACTGGTGCAGGCTGCCCAGAGATGTGGATGCTCCATCTCTGGCAGCATTCAAGACCAGGTTGGAGATGGGATCTTGAGCAGCCTGGTTTGGTGGATGACAGCCCTGCTCACAGTGATCAGGATTAGAAGTGGATGGGCTTTAAGATCCCCTCTAACCAAAGCCATTTTTTATGAGTCTATGATTATAAATTGAAAAATAATGAAAAGCCTTTCTAAAGCTTTGAGAAGATGTCTTTAATGAAAAATTGGGTTTTGATTGATTCATGATACAGAATCATATCATAGAATCATAGAATGCCAAGAGGAAGGCAGAAGTTTTGGAGCAAAAAATTTTCTCTGCTTATGAAAACATTCAGCTAATGCAATTTCAGAAGTATTTGTATTATGCTCACAGTTCATATAAGATAATCACAGATTTCCTACGTTCGATTTCAAATATACTTCATGAAGAAGGTTAGCTTCCAGTCACTTTAAATATTTGCTGATCATTCAGCTATCTTCCAACTTGATTCCCATGATAGATCTTAGATGAGAGTATTAAACGAAGAATTAGGTTGGTAGTAGAAATCCTAGTAGTGTTCCAGGGATTTATTCAACTATGCAATACCTGTTTGTATACTTTCTGAGGAAAAAATCATGCCTGTGTTCATCTCTGCTTTAGACTGTGTAAATTGCTGAAAGTAAGTTAAGCAATTTCAAGTGTTAGTGAAGTATTGTTATTCAGTATTTGATAACGTTGCTGTGCAATTTTATGTATCCCAGAGAGATTTCTTTTCAGTTCAACTGAAAGAATTAATACTGAACAGTATAAAAACACAGGAAATACTCTGGAGAATATCCCTTTTTAAGTGAGGGATATATTGATTTGATGTGTTTACTGTGTTTCATTTTTTGCATCAGTATATTTCTTTTTAGGTTTTATCCACTTTTTCATTAGCAGTAAGCTAAAACCTCAAAGTAAGTCTGGCAGCACTACTTCTGAAATTTTTGCAGGGTTTTGGGATATTCCTGCCCTGGGATTTTTTGCTGTTCTTCATTTAGAATTTGTTGTACCAGAAAAGAGTGTGTGACATACTTTTTCTTCCTGTGCATAAAATGTGCCATACAAATATTGTTGTGTTAGTGTTTTGTTTTGTTTTTAAATAAAAATGAATAAATATATATATTTTTTTTTTAATTAAAAAAACACAACATTTTTTCCTACTATGGAGGAGTAGATCTGTGGATCTAGATACTCTCTATCTCTGTACATCAAAATTGTGTGGCTTTATGTGCTGATACTGCTCAAAAGTAATGAGTGTTTGTATACAGGAAATGGGAAAAGAATGTAAGGGAGTTAAATTCCCTGGGCAATTGATTTAAGATAATCTAAGTTTGCGCTTCTCCAAAGAGGTGATTCCACAGCTAATGCTATGTCATGTGGACTCATAGCCATGTGCTAGAATTAACGTGTATAACAAACGTTGTTGCACAAGTTACGTGATAACTGTGTGGGAAAATGACCTTGCTAGGAACTAGCTGTTCAAGTATATATATATTTAAAAAGAAAAATACCTACCAACTTACTTCTTTCCTCAACTTACTAAATACTCTCTCAGTCAGATAAATCTGGATGACTGCATGGTTGGAGGAGCCTTAGCTTTTAGTGCACAAAAATGAGAACAGAAATGCAGAGCAGAATAACATGAGCAGAACAGATTTAGATATCTTAGTTAAGAAACTACACTGTAAGTTCAGCATAGTAAAGTTCAGTTTTACTTTTTTCCCGTACAACCCAGATAATCATAGAACCATAGAATGGCCTGAGTTGAAACCCCTTGCCATAGGCAGGGTCGCCAGCCACTAGACCAGGCTGCTCAGAGCTACATCCAGCCTGGCATTGAATGCCTCCAGTAATGTCTTGTAAGGATAAGCTAGTATGAGTTCTTTTATGCCACACAAATATTTTTTAAAGTTACTATTCTCCAGGACAGAATTCTGCTTTGAAAAATTTGAGGTGGGCATCTGACATGGCATCTTTTGAATTTTTTTTCTTTGCTTATTTTTAAATATAAACTCACTTTTCTCTTTAATATTTTTACCAACCGATTATTTTCATATTTAGCTTTAGTTCTTCCAGTACATCTCTATGCAATTCTAGAAAAGTGAGCAGGTAGAAAGAGGACGTTTAGAAAAATCAAGTTTTCTCACCTGAAATTGTTCTTTTTTTCAAATTCTGCCTTGTGCTGTATTTGAAATAAGGAAGAATCATGAAACATAAATGAGTGTGTTTTAAAATTTCACCTTCCAAACATTTTTAATGGCTATTTTAATTTTCTCCTTGAAAATTCAATGCTACCACAATTATTTAGAATATCACGGTGCTCCAATTTTCTGCAGCTATCTCTATATATGATCAGTTGTATTCCTTACAACATGTTCTACTGATGTCACTTAATCCAATTCTTGATTTCAAAGTAGGAACCAAGTTTTGTAACTCTGTGATTATATATTTTTTTTTAAAGATTGAATCTCTTACTAATTTCAATTAATGTTATAGGGCAGAAGCAGTTCTGTATGCTCTCTCATTCTTGAGCCATGGAATAGCTACTAATCTGTACAAGTAGAAACAATTTGAAGATTTATCTAATCCAACCTTGAAGATAAGTAGTGCCCAACTTCAGAGGTTAGTGAAGAGTGTTCTCCAATGCAGGTGTTTAAAAAAACCAAAAAAACAAAAAAAACACAACCTTTTGAAGTGAAATTCAAACTGTGCATTCCACTAAATTAATGTTGGAAGGTCTGCTGAAATACTTAAATAAAGAAGTCTCATTTCCAGATAGCAAACTGTTCTGCTGTTCCACATTTGATGTTTTTGTATTCAGTGACATTTATTTGAATTTGACATATACCTGTTTTCTCACCTTTGAGAAACTTGAATAAAACCTTGTTAGCAAAAGTGAGTGCATGGCAAGTCCTGTGAGTTTGTGGTCTTCACAGCTAATTAAGGTTTCATTGTTACCCCATAGGGTGATTCTCTTGAAGTGGGTCTTTCTCCATTCAACAACGGTTTTGTTCATTAGATCTTGACCTTGATTAAATTTGCAAAAGGTAAATGAATTCTGGGTATTTAAAGCTCTTTCTGTGGCACGCTGTGAGTTCTCATTTTTGCAGAACTCTGTTGTCAAACTACTGCTGCCTAGTTTTCAGGTGAATAAATATTTGAATATGAATTCTTGGGAGTAATTTGAAGGTTGGTAACAACAATTTGTTTTGAACCTAAAAGGCTAAAGCTTTACAATATGCTCAGAAAGCTTGTAAGCTTTTGGCAGTCTTCTAGTGGCATCTTCATCCCATCCTCTCCCCAGATACATAGGTCTTTTATAAGGCCAAACTCTCTGAATGCAGAACCTTAACAGGTTTCTCTTTTTTCTAAACGTTAGCTAGGTGGTCTTGTTGTCTGATCCTTCTCCAAAGAATCAAGGATACTTATATTCCAGTATTCCTCCTGCTCTATCCCCAGAAAGGTTTATGAAAAGTTGAGTTACAGTTGCTCATATATGATTAAAAGTGTCTATTAATGGAACGTGTCTAGCAGCAGAGCAACTGACTATTTTTTGCAGGATGTTAATAAGTGCCCTTGCTCCACAGGCAGAGAGGCTGGAAGTGTAATCTCTATCCAGCCAGGGCAAGATTAAACTCATTTCTTGCACTTCCAAAAGTGCCCTAAGCAAGAAGTGGTGTTTTAGTCCAAGGGCATCCTCTTGAGGATGTCCACTCCTCATGCATTACAGGGCTGAGAGCAACAAACCAGTGACCTCATGCTTGTTTCCATGGCATAGCCTCATGCTCCTTTAGAGAGCTTCATTTTGTTCTGGCTAATTATGGAATTCTGGCAGATGTGGCAAGCAGGTTATTTTTTCAATTACCATTCTTTTTAATGTATGGGATATAGCAACTCTCTGAAATGCATTATTCACGGGGGTTGAAAGTAATACTTTCTGTCTTTGTCAAGGACATAAGCGTAGCCTTTTTTCTAATCATGTGCCAGACTGGAAGGGGAAAAATCATTGTCATGGTGTCAGACCTGAAATGTGTGTGTGTATACATATATATATATATATATATATATATATATATATATATATATATATGTACACACATGCTGTGCTCTAATTTGCTGAAATGCTGAAAGCAGAGCCTGTAAGACACCTTGCTGAACTCACTGTTCTTTTGCATAGCTGCCAAAACCAGGTGGCCATGATATTATCTGACAAATATGATTGCACGTTTAATGCACTTGAAATGCAAGCATTATCCAGTCTCAGTGGGAATCCATTTAAATTCCCATTACATTGACTGAGGGTGGAATGAAGTTCTCTGCTTTTTGGTCTGCATTTCAGATGCAGAAAGAGTGCATGGATTGGAAATACTTCTTGTACAAGTGACTTGTTTTGTCTTAATTGTTGAGATAGTGTTATGCTTGACTTTGTATAAATTAGTACTTAATATCCATTCTTTTATATTTAATCTTGTCCTTTGAGTATTGATGTGTAACATATGCTGCAGTTTCTGGTTTTTTTTTTCGAAAGTGTAACTGGTGAAGGATGGGATAAGATATATTTTTTTAAACAAATGATGTATTTTCGGGAAAAAAAAGCTTGCTCCACCTTCCAAGCTCATTAAGTACCTCAAATATGTAATGCATCTACAAATGGACTGCGATTGTTCCAGAGGATTTAGTTATCAGAGAGGATGGATCAGTTTCCTGTTTTGTCTTGCTAAAGAAAGAGTATTCTGATAAATAATAATTAGTACTATAAAGACCGTCAGACTTAAGGGTACTGTGAGGTCTGTCAGACTTGAAATGTGGTACATTCAGTGGTAGTGGGAGCTTACAACAGTAAGCCCTCAATAGAGAAGGCTTGCTCTCAATTTGGATTAGCTAGTGATTATGGATTTATTTATAAATATGTTCAAATTGTTTAAGCATGTGCTGATTGTCTGGAGTTAGGGTTGCAAGAGGTGACTCATGAATAGTATTTATTTTTCATTATTATTTTTTTATTTTTTTAATTCAGAACAGGGAAATGAGCTTTGGTATTGTTGGAATAGAAAAACAATTTTAAAAGCCAGAACCTCTGTCATGAAGAATTCTTTGTTTCTTTTAATTTTTGTTGTTGGTATAGTTCAAAGCAAGATGAAATCCTCTACAAAGTCATCAATCAGAGATATGTTAGCTAACCATGTTTGTCAAAATATTACTGTAAAATCCCTTTTGAAACATGACCATAATTTTATCAGAGCGCGTATTTGCATAACATATAGTTCACACATAAGATGCATGTTAAAAAGAGCCTGAAACATCCTCCCTGCTTTTATTTTTAAGCTAAAAAATTTCTGCATATATAAACCGCTTCTGCAAGTGCAAGCTAAGCCTATTGCTCTGTAGCCTTTGCAGCCTTCTCCCTTCCCTTTTCCAGCCATCTACCCTTCTCCTATTCCACTTTCCCCATATGCTGGAATGCCACAGAAAGCTCAATTGGTTTCAAGTACTCACTTTTTCACCAGCTTCCAAAAGATGAATTGGGAAAATCTGAAAAATAATAACTACAATGGAGGTTACTAAAGACCAATTCTAAATCCCAAAGGGATGAGCAGTCCAGAGAGCGTAAATTTTAATTAGGGGGCAATACTTTTTAAAGAAAATGAACTGTGAAAGTAGCATGGAAGTTCTTTGTTAACCAAATCATGCTTCTGGTGATGTGATTGTGCAGATTTTACACTTGTGATTTGTACTAATCAATAGCTTACTCTCTTTTATGCCTTAATATTTGCTGGAAACATTATTTTAATTAACTTTTATTAAAACTATTAGAGTGTGGATACTGACTTATAGATGACCCCTTCCTTCCCCCTACTCAATTGTGGATAGTACAGAAGTTTTAAACAAAAATACCAACTTCCTTGTGAAACTTAGAAATATTTACAGTTTTGTTCCCTTCTTTTTCACAAAGTCAAATAACCATTATGGTGTATACACCTGGGATTTCTTGCAGCTTGGGGAAAGAAACACTATCACTGCAAACCTAATATTAACTAATAGTTCAGTTCAGCAGCCATGTCTGAGCTGGGATTTTTATTTTTGGAGTAGTTTTCTCCTTGTTTCTACTTTCCTTCTGAAGTATAGAGTAGTACTGTTTTAAGTCTCCCTCCATCTTTATAATAAGCCCCTTTTAAGTGTTGAAAGGCCACTAAGGTCTCCAGGGAGCCTTCTCTTCTCCAGGCGGAACAACCCCAACTCTCTCAGTTCATCTCCACAGAGGAGGTGTTCCAGCCCTCTGATTATCTTTGTGACCTCCCCTGGGTCTGCTCTAACAGGTGCATGCCCTTCTTGTGCTGGAGCTGAACACTGCCACAGGTGGGCATGATGAGAGTGGAGTAAAGGGCCTACTGGCCATGCTTCTTGTGATGCGGACTAGGTTAAAACTGGCTTTTTGGGACACATGTATGCACTGCTTCCCTCACATCCAGTTTTTGTCCACCAGCACCCCCATATTGTTCTACTCAGGGCTGCTCTCAATCCATCCTGCAGTCTCTACTGAAGTTTGAGATTGCCCCAAGCCAGGTGCAGGACCTGATACACGCGTGCGCATTTTGATTTCCTTCAAAACGTCATTACTCTGAATATAGAAGGTCTACATATCACTCCACTCCCACCCTGAAAACAAAGTAATGAGTGATAGAAGTGGCTTAAATAAAGCTGCTATTCAAGTATTGGGAATGGTGTCTGCCATTCAAAAGGAAAATGTTTATTTTTGTGTAGTACTGTACTTACGTTGCATAGAAGGAGAAAAATACTCTGGGAAGCCTGGAGGAAGGGTGACATGGCATAATATTCTACTGCACCATCCACTGAAAGGCTTGATTTTATCCCCAAGCTGCAAGGAAAGTAAGCAATCCTTTATAACTGATCTTTGGAGCTCGTGAGTGAGGTGCCTTTTTACTGAAGGACCAAGACACTATCCTCTTTTCTAATTACGCTGCCTTATGATGCTGAGACTTCTGAGCCAGAGATTACCAAAACAATGGAAAAACTTTAATAGCTGAATGGCAGTGCAGAATAACTGTATAACTGTATCATTTAAAAAAAAAAAAAAGACAATGCAAAAGTCAAGTGATATAACGTAAACTGAATAATCTTGCCATCAGTATTGCAGCTACATTCTGTCTAACACATTTTACTTTTATGTTTCTTAGATGCCCAGCCCACAGATGGAGAAAGAGAAGTATGGAATCAGATCAGTGCAGTTTTACAGGACTCAGAAAGTATGCTTGCAGATCTTCAGGCTTACAAAGGAGCTGGACAAGAAATTAGAGATGTATGTTTGTTCAAGCTAATGGGAAAGCTCTAGAAGAAAAACTGAACAGAACAGTGTGTTCTCTTCTGTATCCAGGCACATTCTATGGAGCTGTATGAGAATCTTTATAATTCTGTTTTGAAAACTTACGGATTCAGTGCAACATGATAAGCTGTAATGTTAAATTATTAAATGATGGCTGTTGGAACTTCTTTTGGGTCTACTACTAGCGATTAATTCATATTTATTTTTCACTTTGAGACAGTTTCGTATACCTCATTTCATATACCTTATGGCTAAAGTTACAGTTAAGAACTAATACTTAAGAAATAATACTCAAATGTCCGAAACTCATAGGAAAAAATACTGGAAATAGCTACTCTATGTAAGTGAGATAATGAAATACAGTAAATTGGAATTTTATATCAATTTTGCACGTATCTTACACTGTGAAACTAGTTTTGAGGTACAATTCTGAATTGTAACTTAGTTTGTCTCAGCTGACCAAACCTTTCCCTGTGTCAGCCTCAAATTTACTTTTAGTTTGAGCTCTTACCTACATAAGTTTAAAATAATAATAATTGTAAAAAGCTGTTTATTTCTGCATACAGTACTTATACTCCTGATGCTTTTGCAGTATGTTTTTATTCAAAGATTCCTGCATGTCAGTGTTGGATTACAATGAGTATTTTTAAGTTATGCTAAAGGGAAGAAGGAAAAGAATGGTATTTTTTAGACTTAATAACTTTCACACACGATGTTAATTCTTATAATTGTCCTATGTTTTACAATACTTACTTTCTGAAATACTGTACTGGACAATTTCCAAATCACCTTTTACTTGCTGTTTGTAATTCACAGTTCTTTATAGTGGAATTTTCATTTCAGGCAATACAAAACCCCAATGATATCCAGTTGCAAGAAAAAGCATGGAATTCAGTGTGTCCTCTGGTCGTGAGGCTGAAGCGCTTTTATGAATTTTCACTGCGATTAGGTGAGCCCTCGTTTAATGCGTCTGTTTTATTCAGTTACTTTAAAGAAATACGAAATTTCTTTTTCCACTGATTTTAAATGGCTTTTGTTTTGACTCTTTGATCTTAACAGACATTTGCCTTCAGTCACGTTTCTCAGTGCAGCTTTCTTTATCTTCTTTTGGTTTAAAAATTATTTAAAGTTTGTTGGCTTGCCACCTAAACTATGTATTATCTAAATAGAGCACAGAGAATGCAATTGTGACTGTAAAGTTTTTATCTGATGCCTCCCACCGTTCAACACTTCATTGATGTTTGTTGTACTGATGTGGTTTACATTTTTTTAATTTGGATTCTCATAGAGAACAGAGTTTTAAAAGGAATGAAGACAAAAATATTTTGAGATTTGCTTTTAAATAAAAACAAGGGGGGATAACAAGGACAGGAGGATATCGATACTCTTTTGCAGGGTGAAAATGCAAAGCTGGGCACATTTTAAACTGAGTTAACCATCCATGCTGCCCTTAAAAAATGATGTAATTAAGCCTTGAATTAAGACTCTGGATGACAATCTTTGTGCAAAAAAATGTTTCTATAAAGTAGAGGGCATGGATTCAAGCTACGGCAGGGGAGGGCATGGATTCAAGCTACGGCAGGGGAGATTCAGGCTGGACATGAGGAAGTATTACTTTTCAGAAAGAGTGGTCAGGCACTGGAATGGACTGCCAAGGGAGGTGGTGGAGTCACCGACCCTGGGGGTGTTCAAGGAAAGGCTGGATGTTGTGTTGAGGGACATGGTTTAGTGGGAGCTATTGGGAATAGGTGAACGGTTGGACTGGGTGATCTTTTAGGTCTTTTCCAACCTTGGTGATTCTGTGACTCTATGAAAGTTCCCTGTGACAAAAATTCTTCTATAAAGTCTTGCTATGCCTATCAGTTTTTGAGTAATGTTAGTAATTATAGCCACAGGAGCTGAACTGCCTTTCTATCGGTGCCTAAGAGTACACTTTCTGTGACTAAGATGCCAGAACAATCTCTGTACTGTGTTGATGGCTAATTCAGGAAGATGAAAAAGAGAGAGCAGAATATTTGAATATAGGAGAAATGCTTTCTCCATAGAATTTTTGATAGGGTTCCGAGATAAAGGGTATTAGATGGGAAAAAGGGACATAATGGAAAAGAGTTCATACAGAACTCTTACAGTTCATACGTTGATACAGAATGGAGAGAAAATGGCAGAAAGTTTAACAAAACTTAGTAAGAAATTCCTTTAATTTCTCACCTTAGAATAGAAACGAAGGGGATTCTTGTTAGGGCTGTGCATATTCTTAGCCTTCCTTCTCTTCTAACAAGTATTTAAATACTTATGTAAAGTCTTACTTTAATATGGACTGAAAAAAAATATTTTGTTTTTAGAAAAGGCCTTGCAGAGCTTACTGGAATCTTTGACATGCCCACCTTATACTCCAACTCAACACCTGGAACGGGAACAGGCTCTGGCTAAAGAGTTTGCAGAAATCTTACATTTTACTCTTCGTTTTGATGAACTTAAGGTTAAAATCTTTTACTGCATGCTATTTTTTTTCCATATATTTTGAATCAAAACTGATTATTTTCTGTTTTCTTTCAATAAGATGAGAAACCCAGCAATTCAGAATGACTTCAGTTATTATAGGCGCACAATAAGTCGCAACAGGATTAACAACATGCATGTAAGTAAATAAGGTCTGATCTGCTCTTAATGCTGAAACCTATCATTTTGTGTATACCTATACCATTTGTGGTAGTGTTAGTTTTTGGGGTTTTTTGGTTTTGTTTTTTTTTTTTGTTAGCTGTCATATTCTCAGCTTCACAGTGAGAGTTAAGTAGCAGTCTGGATAAAGTGATTAGGCTGGAACTATTCATTCAGAAATCTGCTTCCTGACATGAACGCGCTCTGTATCTTTTTCTTGCTGCTGTCAAGATTTTAAGAGTTTAACTAACAATTTTTTTTCATGTTTTTCTCAGCTAGACATCGAGAATGAAGTCAACAATGAAATGGCCAATAGGATGTCCCTGTTTTATGCAGAAGCAACACCAATGCTGAAGACACTCAGTAATGCAACTACGCATTTTGTATCAGAAGTAAGTAATGGGAGAGAAAAGGGCAAAACACACAGACATTCTTAATTTTAATTTTACAAGATGATCTACTCAATGATGACTCTTTTTTAACTCTTCTAGAACAAAACATTGCCAATTGAAAATACAACAGACTGCTTAAGTACTATGGCTAGTGTATGTAAAGTCATGTTGGAAACGCCGTAAGTTTTATCTTAAATCTTGTTTCTATTGTATGTGACAATTTTTACAGTGTTTATTTATTTCCATCTGGAATAGTTGTTTTTTTTTTCCAAATGATTTCCTGCTTGCCTTCAGTTGCAGTCACAGTAATGAACAAAGCACAATCTGTTTTTAGAAAATTTTGCCTCCTATTTTAACCACCTTAAATATTTTTTCACAAATCAGTGCTGAATTTTATTAGGGAGGGTATTCAATGAAGGTTAACATACGAGTATAATCTTTCATAGGCTTTGGTATCTGTCTCATCTAACCAGAACTATAGGGCAACTACTGTCTCTTGCCCATCTTGCAAAATTCTTACCATGCTTAGGGGCTAGATTTTGGTACAGATATGCATATAGTAGATGGGAATCATCTCAAAATCCTGTGGCATCTTAGTATGAGTCACTGAAAATACCCATATGTGTATGCTCTTTTTTATTTTTTTTTTTTTTTTTTTTTGCATAAGTAGAGAAACAGTAAATTGTGAGTTGTCTCCAGAAGAGAACATTGAGTTTATTCTCCAATATTTAGTTTTAATTGTGAGATAATCAGACACTTTCACATCTGAATTTCTATAGCCTTTAAATCTGGTCATGTTATGGTGCTGTATTTATAGCTCTAAATCAGAGAATGAAATCTGAAGTCATTGTAAGCTGTGAGGTAGTACAGTACAGCTTTAGGAGATTTTAATTTTACTTTAAATAACATTTTATATTGAAAATAGTGAATAACAGTAGACAAGTCTATGTACTATCTACTTAAATGGTATTTGTTTTGTAACAGTGGTACTTGCCATTTTTCAAGCATTGTGCTTCTCTCTATTACATTTAATTCACTTCTTTGTGATAGTTTTAGGTAAAAGAGCTGTAATAAGGATTGTCTTAACTGTATCATCCATATTCTTATTTTGCAGTTGAAAAGTCGAAGAGAAACTCTTTGGAATGGGTTCAATCCATTCCCATACAATATACCTCTACTTTTTAGATGTCTGGTAAACCTGGGTTGTTGAAGTTGCCTATGTACTTTGAAAAGAGGTATCAGTAATTATGAACCCAGGTGAAGGCCTATACTTAAAAGCTGCTGAAATTAGATTCTGCCTAAATGTTACTTGTTTCGAAGTAAGAATTTAAGCAAAAAAAAAATAGTTTGCCTGTGAGTTCCCATATGTTGTGTTTCTAAGAAGAAGCAGAAGTATGATGAGTCTCTATCATATTTTATCAGCCATGAAACACTTCGGCAAAAGTTGCTGGCCTCATGGAAACGAGGTTATGAACTGGGAATGTTTGGTAAAACAGATTTAGATATCTATTTGCTTTCTAACCTGCTTTGTAAATTGACAGGGACTTATGCAATTTAAAGATCTTTAAAATTTTGCACAGATTTTTCTTTTAAGTACTTTTAAGTACAATGTTTAGGTTTTGTTCCTTCATAACCTGGTTTGCAAAACTGTCCAGTTAATAATAGTCAAGACATTATTTTTTTTTCCTGTTATTTTTCAGAGAGTACAGGAGTAGATTCACCAGTGAAGAGACTCTTATGTTCTGCATGAGGGTAATGGTGGGAGTTATCATACTGTATGATCATGTTCATCCTGTGGGAGCTTTCTCAAAGACATCAAAGATTGATGTAAGAATGACTTTTCTTAGTGTCTCGTAGGTTTGAGAACACCAGTATGTGGATTTTTTTCCAGCACAGACTTACGAATTTTTATAAACCATTTTAATAACTTTTGAGTAGCAAAACTTAGAATTTATCTTCACCTGTTTGCTTTCATAGATCAGCTTGTTGGAAATTAAAATAAGTATTTGTATTTTCTCTCAGACATAGATACTCATTTGTCTTTATTTCTGCTTTTCTGCCAGCTGTATGGTTACACTATAATAATTCTGTGATACAGCTACTCTTGAATAAGTTCTGTAGTCATAAGTTTTTATTTATCATGTAATCTCTTTATGCTGAAATGCTCATTTTTGGTTCTAGCTCTGTTGTAAATAAGCAGCTATTCTATATTGTCTCTGCTTAGCCTGAGATCTAAAGTAAGAGAACTGAACTCCTACTGTTGTAATGCTAATAATGAGCCTTCAGTTTTAGTTTTGGCATGACCAGTCACAGCAGAATCAACCTTATATTTTCATCTGAGATATTGCAAGCACACACACACAAAAAAGTACTCTTTTTGTGCTGCGTGTTTTTAAATCTCATAGGGCACATCTTTCAACAGAAATAATCTGTAATTCATGGTTAGTCCTTCCCTTTACAAAACAGCCTACTTCTAAAGAAAATATATAAATACATGTATATAAATATTACTGTGCTTCACTCTTTGTTAGCATTTTTTTATCTGCAGATAACACTATTTTACTACATCCCTTTTTTGACTCTGCTTAACAGAGGGAAAGATATGTCAGAAAGAGGTGAATTGATTTGCTGAAGGTCACGCAGCAGATAGAGCCTGGGAATTGAATGCAGACTTCCTGACTGCTAATGCAGTCTCTCTACAGAGACAGCAGAAGTAAAAATTTTCACAGTCCTGTATATAGTGTGTGCACTTTTGGTTCTCACATTTAACCAAAAGCCTTGTAACCTTATAGTTAATGTAAATGAAAGGCAGAAACTTAGTTGTTGTTTGTTTTTTTTTAATGAGTAAATGGTCTCAAATATTAATCAGTTTAATTAGTTTGGGGATTATTCTCTTAAAAAAAAATAAAAATAAAAAATCAGTAGATGCATTTGTATTACTACAATAAACAATTCTGTTTTCCAAGCCAATCACTTATTGGAATCCATTTTAAGAGTTCAGGGACAGTGGTACAAATTAACCTTTCCTTACTTTTTCAAAACTATTTCAAGCTGTTGACTACAGGCACCTAGCTTAGATGTCCAAGAGCTTCTCTTTTTCGGCTGTTTTAAGGATCCTGATTCTAACAAAAGTGGAATTGAATAATTTGAATTTTTCTCCGCTTTGAGTTTGCCTGATCTGAACACACGCTGCTACTGCATACTGTGCACTGAGTTTTTTGAGTTTCATCTAGACTGGCTTCTGGATAAGTACTAGGTGTATACCTAGCAATGGAAGAAAAGAGTACTTCCAGAGCATGATTAACTACATCTGAAGTTATATTCTGAATAGGTTGGAGGAATTTATTATTCCTCTCTGTGAACTACATAGGGATTCTATAGACTGGATCAGATGAGTTCTGTCTGCTTTCTCTGCTTCATTTTTTCTGATGTAAATTTGGACAATGTTTTCAGCCTGATTTTTTTACTCTCAAGCAGATGTTCTTTCACTGTGGTGTTTAAAATCAGCATCAGGGACTTCTCATATCAGATGAAGCTAGAAACTACTAGTTATGAAACAAACTGTAAGCTGTCACTATTTACAACTGGAGACTAAATACTGAAAATGTATTCCTTGTGTACAAATATAAATATAAAAGTCAGAGTTGAAACATTTCTTCTTACAGTTCCTGGGAGTGACAGGGAACTGTCTCTTAAAATCCTGGGTATTCTTTTTGTGTTTATCAGTTGTTGTTGAATATTTTTTTAAGTTGCATCTGGGGAAATTGTGTGTGAATTAAAATATATACGTTTCATTTATAATTTAGTATCTGCACATGCTTTTTAAAGAAGATTATGTTTTAATTTTAATTATTTTTTAATTGAACATCATTTTAGATAAGATACACATTCATTGTTTCATATAAAGCAGCATTAACATTTCAGTAGGAAAAAGAGGCTGCCTATCTTTGGTGAAAGTTTTCCTTGTTTTCAGCTAGTGCAATTCATGTATTATTGTTCAGTAGTGGCATGCTTCTGTTCCCAGATGAAGGGATGCATAAAAGTTTTAAAGGAACAACCACCTGACACTGTGGAAGGACTTCTGAATGCTCTCAGGTATGTATGGAGTCACTGTTTGATTCAGCCTTAATTTTTTTCCTCCTAATTTTTAAAAAAATTTAAGACTTTTTAACCTTATAATCTTGTTCTATTAAGAAAACTGTCATTTCAGGTTTGGCTTTATCACATGAGGTTTTCTTAAGTTATATTCTTCGTCTCTGTTCCATTTCACTTCTGTAGGCAATGATTATTGATACTGGAAGTCATAATCTCTATGAATGACAGAGATAGTAGAAGTTCATTTAATTGCCTAATTTCTCATACTATTTATACTCCCCTTTTTTTCTTTCATTTGGATCAAGTAAAGCATTCTATTTTAATTTTGCTTAATGATACAACTTGAAGACAGCTACCCAAATGTGAGTCCTGTAGCTGAGAGTTAAAAGTGCTGTTTTGGAAAACAAGACACAATGATGTGACTTCTCTGAAACTCAGAAAGGAGTCATAGTACCAAATTTTTTACAGCTGTGTTGAATTTTTTAGCTGTTGAGTGTTTGGATAGAGCAAGAAGTATTGCCACGACCATCTCTGCTTTTGCTTATCATATCTTTTGAATTGAAATTGATGTGGAGTTAAATCCTACGGCTATCAGATGTCTTTTGAGCTTGTACGATGATTGATTTCCCTACCAACGTACACAGTGAAGAATATGGTTGGGCTTAAATGGAAGAAACACGCTAAAAGCTCTTTATTCCTCCTAGGATATTCCTAAATGTGTGGCTGTGCACCAAACAGACTTCTGGTTTAAAAAAAAAAAAAAAAAAACAGGAAACACTTTATGTCATAAGGTACAAAAGTACAGGACCTTTAAGACAGATTCTTAACATTAAGCTTTCAGGTTTTGTCAAAATTCAATTTAGGCTCTTAAATCCTTTTAGTAGTTTTTACCTTATTTCTCATGTCATCTCATGTATTGTATTTCTTTTGAGGATTTAACTGAAAGAAAGAGAATTCTGCAGAATCAAGTGCTGTTGTTGAAATAAGATGATTTGACTTCAGTTTGCTACCAAATCACAGACACTGCATTTGACTGCAGACCTCTCTTTTAAATTGACATTTTGAATCTTGCTGCACTGACATTGCTATGATTGTTGGCTCGAGGCCAGGGTTTAGCCTCAGTTCTCAACCTATTAACAAAGAATAATTTCATGTAAGGCATATTTAGAAAATGAAGAGCAGCGGACATTTAGTAATTAATTCCAGTGATCAGTGAGCAAAGGAATATATATGCATGTTTGTGTAAATGAACCACATTGATTTCAAAAACAGCCAATAAGTTTTTTAGACTTTTAAAATCCCTGCTTGTTTTGTTAAATACTGTTCTAATTTGTAATTTCTAGGTTCACTACAAAACACCTGAATGATGAATCTACTTCCAAACAAATCCGAGCTATGCTGCAGTAGTGTCCTGAGATGACTTAGATGTTTGTATTGACCACAGAAGATGTGTATGTTTACATAATTTAATACAGTTTGATGTTAATACTTGTGTGTATTTACATAACCATTTTCTTCACATTGCTAAAATATATGAACCTGTAGTCATTACCCAACTGACTATATATAATGCAGCCTAAGTTTATATGCTAGCCTTTATCTTTTGACCTTTAAAATACTTTTTTACTTAGATACTTTAGCTGAAACAGTTTATCTGTGCATTTTAATTCTTAAATGCCTTCTCTGGAAGATAAAATGGAAATCAGATAAACTGAAATGTCAAAGTTACCATAGGACATGAACTTCAAAGGAGGAGAAAGTTAATAAAAGAGAAAGTAAAATTGTAGGTATAGGAGAATACCTGAATGTTCATCAGCTTCATTAAATATGTTGTTTTTCCAGTAACTGGTGGAGATCTATCTAATTTTAAGGGTTATGTGCTGGCCAACATCCAAAAATGTATTGTAAAGAGGTCACTTTGCTTCTCTTAATATGTCTAGCCTGTTCTTTTCCACCACTGGGAAAATTAATACGTTTTCAGATATTATATAAATAAATATAAAGTGTATTTCCAGACCATTGCTAGATTCTGAAAACTGATTAATTTTATTAGATTTAGAAAGGGAAGGGAAAATGCTGATGTCTTTAAAAGAGAAGGTTTTGCGGTGTAAACACATAATGGCAAACATTATCTGTTAGAGACAGCTCTTCTATTATTTTTGCTAATACAAAGTTGAATAAAGGAGAACACTCTTTTGTAGAGTAGACTTCCCTAGTCTCAAATTGGTCTAATTAGACTAGGGATGATACAAAGAATTTTCAAGACCTGAGCTGTTCCTAGGCACTCAGTCAATTTCCTTGATGGTAATATTCATCAGCTGATTCAGAATCAGCACAGATATGTTTCAGCTCACTGCTTTTCACTGTTTTTCTAGATGTGATTGATGCTTCAAGGAGTTGATTTCCTTACTCAGTTGTTCTTACTTTCTAGCAATTTTCTCCAGTAAATGGAATAGCAATATTTTGCCAAAAGCAGCAAAGTGCTTGTGCTCTATTAAGTGTCTTCTCTGAGTGATCTGCAATTGCTGTACATATTCTTGCAGAGGTCACATTCTGAAAATATGTTCAATTGTGTACTTTGCATATGTGCATGAAAACTCCAGTGCTTGTGCACAGGTTCAGATTTGTTTATTCTTCTGTACGTAATCAGAGGTTGTGTGCTGTCACTGGAATTTTCATGCTTTTCACTTCTGGAAAATATTAACCATAAGAGTTTGAAGATGCATTTGGTCTGCTAAGACTCAGCTGCACTGTTACAAATTTAGCCAATCAACTCTGTCCTTAAAAAGTATTAACTTTCATAAGTTCTTTAGAATTGTGTTAGAGTTTATTTGTGAGCAGAATTATATGAGGTTTCTCAGATGTCGTGAGAGCCCACAGATGTTAGCATTATACATGTAACAATGCAGGAAAGCACTGCAACTGTAGAGGTCGTTTCATGGATCTGCAGTTTTAGCAGATCACTATGTTATCATCAGGAACAGAATTAGAAATTGCTAATTGTTTTTCAGAAGCAGTGCTCACACTACTATTTTATAGTAGTAAAGTCACTGTTTACAAACTCCATTTTTAATGGGGAGGCATTTACAAATATATATTAGGGGAAATTCTGTTTTGTTCGTGTCACTTTCAGTTAGTTAAATCAACATGAATTACACATCATTCTATTGACTTTTGGTATCTAATTTTAATACATGCTTACCTGCAATCACTTGTCAAGCAATGAAATCTTTATGTTGCCCAGAGAAATGATATTCATCACTTAAGTAATAAAAATGTAAACTTTAAAGCATTCTGCAAGTTGTTATGTGCTATTTGCTGAAAAAACTGAATTTCTTTGCCTGCTGTGATGTTTTTGTACAGAAGTTTGTTGGAAATAATAAAAAGTTTGGTACAGTAAGCATTGGCACTGTCTGTATTTAGACAACATTAAAAAGTTGAGAAGGATTTCATTTAAGTTTTGGATCTGAAATATAGTAGGCTCACTTTTATATTTATATAATATGTATATATCCAGTGTATAGTTTCTTTAAACATCATCTGAATTATTTCACTTGCATGCCACACTGACACAGCTTCAAGTTAGTTAAACAGTTCCTGATTTTTTGACAGTTAGTGTCAGCTGTCTGTCATCTTGACATGGGGAAATTGTTGATAATGGTTTACATAGCAGAGGAGATAAATCTTAGAATCAGAATCACCAAGGTTGGAAAAGACCTCCAAGATCATCCAGTCCAACTGTCCCCCTATTGCCAATATTTCCCACTGAAACCATGTCCCTCAGTACAACGTCTAAACTTTTCTTGAACGCCTCCAGGGTTGGTGATTCCACCACCTCCCTGAGTAGCTCATTCCAGTGCCTGACCACTTTCTTGGAGAAGAAGCATTCCTAACATCCAACCTGAATCTCCCCTGGCGCAACTTGAGGCCATCCATGAAATTTATATCTGCACATCAGTCATCCTAGGCTGTGGTGGACATTTCAGACTGCCTTTATAATCAGTAAGATCACCAGAGGATGATTCATTTCATCTTAAGTGCAAATGAATTACTCTTAGAAGAGAGGCTCTGTAAGCTAGTGGTCAAAGCTAGGTCTCCATTTTGGCAACACTGCTTCTGTGACTCATCATTACATGAGAATACGTAAGATGATATCTTAATGAGAGATCATATCATAATGAGAACATTTCAGAATTGGCTTAAATAAGTGTGACTAGTTTGGATCAGAATAGCCCTAAAAAAAAAAAAAAAAAAAAAAAAAAAAAAAAAAAAAAATTTTGGTTTTTTTGTGGTAGAAAAAGGTGCTATTTTAGGTTGATATGAATTTGAAAGACTAGAATAGCTGCAAAAAAAAGTTGATGGATTTAATCTCTATTCAGAAGCATAACTCATAACTTCAAAGCTTTTTGCTGCCACTGAGCAGCTGTCAATAATCATAGTCTCTAGAAGTATATTTACTGGTATGCGATGAGCAGCATCACTCATAAATTATCTAATGTTTTCCATGTGCTTTCAAAGCAACAAAAAATCATCTCTGTTTTTCTATTGTATTTCTGCTAAACTTACACTGATACTGGGATGCAAGTAGTATATAAGATAACTTGTATTCTATAAATACACTGAATTAAGTAAAATAAGACATAAATTTGTCATATAAAATGATCTCTTTCCCCACTTCCATTCCTGAGAAGCTTAATAGAATCAATGTATTCCTACAGAAATACGGCATCATTACACCTATGCAAGTGTTTGGAAATATGGCATCTTTTTTTCATCCTGTACCTAGTTTTGACTACAGAGATCTTTGTATGCATTTTGAAATATTTCTACAGGCCTTAAAGAAAACCTGAATGTAGACAAATATCCTTTCTTTTCACATTTGCAAAACAAGGCCTCAGAAACAATGAGAAATATGAAAGAAAAACTTAGTGTTTAAACAACATTATGAACTTTGTGGAATCAGAGTAGTCAAGATTGGAAGGGGCCTCTGAAGGTTTATTCTAACCTTCCCTGCGCAAAGCATGATTAACTAAAGCAGGTTTTTTTCAGGTTTTAAATATTTCCAAGAATGAAAACTGTGCTGGTTATGTGGAAAATCTGTTTCAGTGTTAGCCTATCCTTACAGAAAAAAAAAAAAAAAAAAA